CTTTTTGTTCGCTCCCGCAAAATGCCAAGCATCTGCTTGAGGGTCGGGCAGAAGTCTTCTGATGCTGGCACTGTGCGCTCGAAGCCACACAGCTACGTGCACGCTCTTGGCAAGTACATCACCGAAACTCAAAAATCGAACCTGGGGAGAGGCAGTTGGTTGTTCGCCGAGCAGGTATACGAGAGGTGTGCCGCGCAGAGGAGAAGAGACGGTCGTGATGGATCTGATAAGCCCAGCGGCCTGCGATAATGTTCCAGGAGGGGTTATGATGCCAACTTGCTGATCGAAAAAGCCCGTCAGGAGCAGCTGTCGAAGTTTGAGAATGGTGACGCCCCCCAGCGAGTGGCCAACCATGTGCACAGGATGCTTTTCGGACCACTGCGGATACGATCCGCCACCTTCTGACGCCGGAGGATAGCGTCGGCCCCATCTGGAATGGCCATGCTCTTTAGCATGAGCTTCGCCATAGTCCACCGTGCCTCCGTGCAAGGAGTAGAAGAGCTCGCATGCTCGATCATGTAGGGATGAAACTGGTCCGATAGGAGCCCAGAAGATCTTGCGTCCCTCTTGCTTCAAGCTCGACCGTTGGTGCGCTGCACCCGCGGCCAATTCTTGCGGAAAGTCGCCCCATATCAGCGAGGAGGCAGCGCACATGAAACCTTCGACGAGGATCAAAGGAGGCGGTGCCTGGTGACTTCGATATTCGTCCGGCGGTGACTGGAGGTGCGGGTCATGGAGATCATGTATCACAGAGAGTGTGTCTGTCTGTTTATCAGCAATTGAACGGCTCTGACACGCTGTCATGGTGATGCTGGAACTTTGGCTATCTTTGCGCTGCCATTCTGATACTCGAAGCTCAAGTTGAATCGATGAAGCTGCGTGAAGCGTCACTGACCGTCGTCGTTGAGATACCGGGAACAGTCCGTAAAAACGTCGGCTTGTATCTGACCTTTGTGTTGTGTTCGACTCTTGAGAGTGCTCAAGGCCGCAACATGGAGGCTCATCTTCACCACTCGGGAAGAACATTTCAGATCGTGAAATGGCATGATTTACGACAAGTCGCGTGATGGCCAATGTGCCTCCACATGTACCGCTATGCACCTCCTACATTGGTGTCAATGAGATGTACGTCCAAGCATTAGAGGTGAGATCGATTCGACTTGGGCAAGGCGTGCGACATTATCATTACGCTGATGATTAGATTGATGAGGCTTTTGGCGGACGGCTCGCTTCATTGCCCTCCGTCAATCGTGCACGGCAGGACGTAAGTCTTGGTCGATGCAGCCGTGAGTGTTCTATAGGTGGTTACTGACCACCGCCGGTCTTTTTGGCGGATCGACGAACGCCGGTATCTGCAAACGCGCCAGATCGTGCATGGACCCGCTGCAGCTCCGCAGGTTCGCTCGAGGCGTTCTCGCCTCAAGCCTGCGGGCGGTAGCGATATTAAAATCCGAAAGCCAGATGTGTACACGCGCGTTCAGAGGTCACGTGATCAAACCGATTTGGTGATTACGTCTGCGAGGGCAGCTTCCGCAGTAAAGACTCGATCCTACGGCCGTGTTGGAATGAGGTCGATCCACAGAATGAGCAACAGTCTCGCGTTCGTCCTGACCAAGGCGCACGATGGCTTCGGTGCCAAATAGATGCCTCTACTAGCCGCACATTGCGAGCTTATCTCTCAGGAGAGTGTGCACGGTCTTCTCCAGGCTCCGTCGGCGTGATACCCGCTTCGAGAGACTGCGACTGCTCCTCACTGACGTCCTTTCCAGAACTTGCTTGCGAGCCCCCAGAGAGGCTTGATGACGGCACATCTTTGCCCATCGGCACTCCTTCTGATGCCACCACTGCGACCTGTGTCTTGAATGCCGGCCCGCCGCTCTTGACACTTGCACCAGTCGACCGACCTGGGAAGTTCTTGGCCAACATTTCTTGCGCTCTTCTTTTGCGTTCTTCCGCTGCTTGCAGGCGCGCATTTCCTTCAGTGATTGGAGCTGGTACTGTGCACTTGTGAGAGGTGGCCGATCGATGTCTTCGGAGTCATGCGAAGGAAAGATCAAAGAGGGGGGGTGGTGAGGGAGCACATCGACAGCGAACTCTCACCGCATACATGCACGAGTCTCGCACTCACTTCATGCAAAAGAGACCTCCGCATCTTTCGCACCTCGGCGCAGCATGGCTAACTCCCGCGTTGCTTCCCTCCGCTACGCTAATACCCATCCCCTGCTTGCCAACCTGCAAGCTCTTCCCTTTGCATCCCTTCGATTGACAAGGCGTCCTATCCGTTCCCGGGTTCGCCCTTGCCACGAGCCGGACCAGCTCAGAATCGCTGAGATGCTTGGAAGAGGATCCGGGAGCTGAGCAGGCGTGTTGCGATGGCAAGAAGTGCGACTCGCAGAACTTTCTGCGACAGTAAGGACATGAAATGGGCAGAAAGGTCAAGGTGAGACATGAAGAGAGCGGACAGTGCACGCCGACGTCCATGGTGAAGCGTTGCAGCAAGCGAGCGGGTGTAGCGAAAGAGAAGAAAGAGGGAACAGAGTTAGCTTGAGAGTCTTGAGAACAGGTGGCAGAGACAAGGCGATGAGATTCGTGATTGTGATTGTGATTGTGGTGCCCGTGATGATACGGGTGTAGGGCGCTCACTCACATTCACATTCAAATTGGTCCGCAAGCGCGTTGATGCAGCAGGTGTTGATGTGGAGCGTCGATCGAGTGGTGCGAGTGCGAGGTGCGGGCGCGCGCCGCCAGCCAGTAAATCTGCTCGCGCGTGTGTACTGTATGGGCAGAGAGGGACACGCTTGGTCGACGATTCGTGATTGTATGCGCCGTAGGCGTCTGGAGTTTCTGAAGTTCATGCCATTCATGCCTGTCACGGCCAGCAAGCATCTGCTGGTCTCGAGGCTGCCTCGAGCCTGTCCTCTTACCCTACTCCTACTATCAGGCCGCACCACGGTCCAAGAGCTCACAGGGAGCTCAAACACGAGATGTCTTCCAACTCAGCCACGCCAGCATCGGGTCAAGCTACTTCCAGCATCGACCCTCAACAATCACGCACGACATCTCCACCTCCACGCAAGCGCTCCAAATGGGAAGCAACACCTTCGCCGGATGCTTTGGAAAGAGCAGCCAACGAAGCTCGTGCCAAGGCTGCTTCCAAAGCGCTCAAAGCCAAGCAAAAGGCGGAGCGAAGAGCTGCTGAGAGGCAGCAGGAAGAACGACAGAGGTACAATGGTGGCAGCGCTGATGCCGCTGAGGACCAAGGGCAGAGCGCAACTGGGTCTGGCACACCGCAAAGAAGAGCTGTAGCGCAGAGCTTGGACGAGCCTCGAAGCGCTCCTGCACGTCAGCAGGCACACCGGAATGTCCACCCAGTGCCTCCGCGCAGTGCGTATCCAGCCTTGCTGGGCTGCAGATCGGTGAATGTCTATGAGCGATTGAATCACATCGAAGAAGGCTCGTATGGCGTGGTGTTCAGAGCGAGGGATAAAGAGACGGGCGACATCGTTGCTCTAAAGAAGCTCAAGATGGACAAGGAAAAAAATGGTTTCCCCATTACAAGCTTGAGGGAGATCAGGACGCTGATGGAGTCCAGGCACGAGAATGTGGTGAGGGTGAGGGAGATTGTTGTGGGGGATACCTTGACGCAGTGAGTGCAGCGATTGCAGCGCAAGTGCAAACGATTCGCTGCTCGCTGACCTGCTGCTTACCTCACATCAAGAGTCTACATCGTCATGGACTTCATCGAACACGATCTCAAGTCCCTACTCCAATCAATGAGGGTCCCCTTCCTCGCCTCGGAAATAAAGACCCTCATGCACCAACTCTTGAGCGCAATGTCTTTGCTGCACAACAACTGGATCATCCATAGGGATTTAAAGACCAGCAACTTGCTCATGAACAATTCGGGTCAGATCAAATTGGCGGACTTTGGTCTGGCCCGGACTTTTGGCGAGCCTCGAAAGCCGATGACTGAACTCGTCGTCACGCTCTGGTACCGGTGCGTTTTCTCTGGAGAAGCACCAAGCCATGGCATGCGAATCTGCGCGACATTGCAGTACCTGACAATTCGGCTTGCCTCACAACACACAGCTCCCCAGAATTGTTGCTTGGCGCTCCACTATACGGCACAGAGGTCGACATGTGGTCTGTGGGCTGCATCTTTGCAGAGCTCATTCTGAAAGAACCTTTTCTACCCGGCAAAAATGAGAATGAGCAGCTGCTAAAGGTGTGTCTCGGGAAGCGCTTCCTAGGTATTGATCGGCGGTCTCGTTCTGACATTTTGCCCGTCCTTGCGCTCTCCGAGCGCCGTAGATCTTCAAATTGCTTGGCCAGCCCTCCGAGGATGTCTGGCCAGGCTGGAGCCGTTTGCCAGGGGCCAGGAACATGTCCAACGTGGCTCCTCTGTGAGTTCAAAATCCACCGAATTCTCACAAACGATCGCTGCTGGCCCAAAGCTGATGTTATGACCCCGACGCCTTAGGTTCTCGTCACTGCGACAACACTTCAGATACAGCACCGAGCAGACTTTGGATCTGCTTGCTCGTCTCTTGACTTATGATCCTTCAAAGAGGATAACGGCAGACGAAGCTTTGGCACATCCTTATTTCGACGAACCGCCTAGAGCTGCTCATCCGTCCACCTTTGGCTCCTTTCCCAGCGTCGCTGCAGGCGAAAAGTAGGTGCAAGGTCGCGCGTCTGGCCTCATCACAGCCGAGAGGTGATGCTTATGAGACACATCGCGTCTCCTCGTCCCAAAACCGCAGAAAACGCAACGCCTCTCCTTCTGCACCTGAGCGTAAGTCTGCGCGCACACACAGAGCTAAGGCCGAGCTGCGATTTAGCATGAAGCGTTTCTCGCATTTCTTCGCAGGTCTGGCCGATCAGAAACTCGCATACCAACTTGAGCTCGACCTCGTCTGAGTGAAGTCGGCGCGGTAGCTCGTCCTCGCTTGACTCGAGATTCCACGTCAGCCAATGTGTCAACAGCCTACGAGGTCCGCCGCTTCAAATAGAGCCTTTCTCAACGCGTACAAACGTCACACTCAAGCAACATCTCAAATCGCCGCGTCATTGGGAGCCATCTACATCTCGCCTCGCGCCTTTGCATCTCCAATCATGCCGCGTGCACCATATCGTCCTCACAAGTTCAAAGGAATCCCAATTGTCTTATCAGGCTGACCCAGGCCCAGGCCTGGACCTCTCCAGGTATTCTTTGCCCATCTCCTATGCCAGGCTGTCCTTTTGTATGTCGAAGGTGCGTATTCTTTGACTTCCCATCTACTGCATGATTGTTGCGCTTGTTGTCGTTTCCCACCTCTTCGCCTACTGCTGTATGCTCCATTCCCGAGGGGCTCGATGCCGCTTCGCGAGCGGCTTTGATATTGCTTTTCTTCGACTTCTGTCGGCGTCTGTGGATGGGAGCCCTGATTTCTGCCCAGCTCTCAGCCGAAAGGTTTGCGAACACGGGAACGATGAGCCCATTGGCGTTCGAACCCTGAACATTTGGCCGCGTCTGGCCGCCAGAGGTCGCGTGCAGACCGCTGTTGAGTTGAATGAAAGAAGGAGGCAGAAGAGAGTTCAGAATCACGCGAGCATCGATGGGTGGGACCTTTGCATCTCCTGCGTAGACGACCTGAATCAGATCAGGCAATTCATAATGGTCAGATGGGGCGATGGCCGCGCTTGCAAAGCTCGTAGCGAGCGGAAAGAGATAAGAGCGCGTCTCTCGTCTCACCTGCATGAAGCCATGAATCAAGTCTCTTCCCACTCCCCAATTTCCCACCAAGACGACCCATTCCTCCAGGGATGCCGCGTCGTTTGTGGCGCCGCGATGGTAACGGCCGCCATGCGCACTCTGCTCAGTCTCGAACGTCCAAACAGTGCCCTCGCCTCTGACCATCAAGCCGCGATTGATCCACGCTCCAGGTGCATTCGCACTAGCGCCAGCTCCGCCGTCGCCTCCTCTTGCCGCCAAAGCTGTATGCCCTGACCCTCCGTCGCCTGAAGATGGAGCTCCCAAAGGCGGAGGTAAATTGCACTTCTGCAAAAGCATCGAAATGTGCTGAGCGGACGAGAATGTGCTCAACGTCTCCCTCAGATGTTCGTTCGATCCTCTCACCACCCCTTGTTCGCCCAAAGACGACCCTGCGCTGATGGGCAGACCAAAGAGTCGGGCAGCTTCTTGCATTCGAACGTCCTCCTTTGTCGGTCTTGAAGGGTCTGTGACGATCATGTACCCAGCTCCAGGCTTGGCAAAGTATGATTGCAGAACCTCTATGCTGAGCTCTTTGCTCCGCTTGCGTTTCTGCTTCGCTCCACCTTGACTTCCCTCCCCTTCCGCTCCTTGATTAGAAATTTGGCTACCAGAGAAGATGAAAGCTTTCCTCATCTTGCGAGCTGAAGAAGATGGTGCTCCTTCCTGTGCATTCTGCGCTTCAGACAAGGTCTGGAGCCCATCGGCTCTCAGCTGTCTGACCTCGAAGGAAAGACTGCCAAGCTGAGAAGCATGATGGACGACTCGGAGATGAGAATGCATCATTGGCGGGAGGATTTGAGGAGAGAGAGAGGGAAGGTGCGCGATAGCAATGGGATGCGCCGTCGGTGGTGATGCGGGGACTTGCTGAAAGGTGCTAGGAAAAGGCTGTTGGAATGTGGAGTTGGGCATCACTGGAAGAGAGCCGAGGGGTAGCTGAAGGGGCAGCTGCATCGGTAGACCGATATTCGGGTCCATTGAGTACGGGACCGAGGCGCTGGCCATCGGATCTCCCATCGACATGGCCATACTGCCGTCCATTGTGGATGCGATGTCGGAAGGCATGGTGAGCCCTGCTGCAATGCTCGCGCCTGTTCCCATTCCCATTCCCATGTCAACACCGACGCCCATTCCCATGTCCAAGCCTTGCAAGTCCATGCTGCGACTCCCAATCATTTGATCCGTCTCCATCACGTCCCCGTGACTGGCAGCCTCCCCTGCAGCGTTAGTGCTAGAAATGATGCCACTACCAGTGCCCGCTGCGTCGACGCTATTGTTGTTGTTGTTCGCCATGAGCTGGTCCAGCAAAGAGACAGACTCGCCCGAGTCGCTGGACATCCACGCTCGATCTTGCAATGTGGTAGAGGTGGGCGTCTGTCGATCAAGTGCGACGCTTCCTCCTTCCTCCTTTGCGCCTGAGCTCAAATCGGACTCGGCGTTCATTTCCCACACTTACGCCCAAGCTATTTCGATGTGCCGGGGACTCAGAAGAATGCGCATCCATAGGATGGAGAGAGATGAGAATATCGCGATCGCGATCGCGCACGCTGGCTCGCTTATTGACGCTGAATGCACCAAGTCAGACAACGAGCTGTGCCCATTTTTGCTACGAGGTGGACCGTGCCATCGAGTACCGAGATGGAATGTTGATGAGGGATCACTGAAAGTCGTGATGAGTCTGAATCAAGCATGATGCAAAGGAGTGCCTGCCATTCGTGACTTGCTCGAGCCATGCAGATCTGACTTTTGCAATCTCGCAATCATGTGAATGTCCGTGCGCCGCTTCGCGGGCCACATCGCGCGCACTTGAGCCGCGTCTTGCCACATCAACGTCCCCCACAGCCAGTCCAGAAGCCACGCGCACACACATCAGCAACGTCTGCAAGTCAAAAACAGGCCCAATCACATTCGGAACAAAAGAGCTCCAGTAAGCGTGCAATACAAGCATGACAGAGGAGGCTGGAGACCAAAAGCGAGGAAAGAGGCTTCTTCCGGCTACGGGACGACAGCCCGGCAGATGGCTGTAGCAAAAGAGGTGACGCGTTTTCTCGAGCCGAGCCGGCTTCTTGAATTTTTCGGATGCCCAGACCAGGCAGCGCAGTGCCGTGTCAGAGAGGCAAAATGAAGTGTGCAGCGTGAATGGGGTGGCGCCGCACAAATGATCGAGGCAAAGGCGTGTCAGGACTGGAACGCAGGATCGGAGACGATGTGATTGTAGTTTTCGTCTGGCTCCTCGTTGCAGAGGTCCGTCAAGTCCAGCACGACCACAGTCTTGTCTCCCTGAGATAAAGCGATCTTGTGCGATCGATAAGCTGGAGCAATGCTAACCGCATTCTGGGCATCCTCCATGATCTCGTCCGCACTTTCAGCCTTGAGGGCAGCGCCAGTGACCTCTGTACTCTTGGCGCGGCTGTGGGGCCCTGAGCCATTAGGTGCCGTCTTGCCGCCTAATAGCGCATCGCTTGCTGAGCGCTTGTGGGGGGCAGCGGGGCCATCGATGGTTGGCTTAGCGAGCTCTGACCGCCACGCAACGTGACAAATGCCGCCAGAAGCGGCATGAGCTTTGATAATGACGCCGTCCTAGTGGCGAGCGCGACGGCATTCCAGTCAGCAAAGAGCGACAGGCAAGATAGACATCACTCGAATCGACTTACAGAAATACGAGTGATGAACACGCGACCGTCGATGCCACCTGTGGCCATGAACCTAGCGTCTGGACTGAATTCGGGATTGTAGATGCTGTCGCTGTGGGAGTCAAGGACTCGGATGCAGCTACCGTCCTCGGCATTCCAGAGTCTGACAGTGCTGTCGCAAGAGCTGGTGGCAAGCATTCTTGGTCTGCCAGAGCCCGCAAAGTGTGGCACCCAGGTCGCCGCATGCAACTCCCCAGTGTGGCCTCGCAGAACGTGCCGAGTAGCAGAGGAGCCGCTTGCGCCTGCTCCTCGCTCTGCGGCGTCAGCATCTTCAGCGTCATCGCCAATTTGCCCATTGGAATCCGAAGCGTCCATGACGTCGGCCGCTTCGGGCACAGAAGATGCGCTATAACCGTTCGAGCCAGCATAGCCAGGGCCAAGAATCTTATCAAGCGACCAGATCCGACACGTAGTGTCATCTGAGGCACTTGCAAGCAACGTGCCAGTCGGGTCAAAGTGCACGAAATTGACCTCGTCAGTGTGCCCGCGGAGTGTCCTGAGAGGCCTTTGCTCGCCCACGCGGACGATGTTGATGCTGTTGTCGGCACTTGCTGTCGCGATGGTGTTCTCCGCCTCGATTGATGGACTGGACCCAGCTGGCGCACCGATCGCGGCGGGATCCCACCGCGGCCCGCACAACCAATCGACATCGAGACACCCATCTGAATGCGTGCTGAATTGTTGGCGGGGCTTTCCTGTGCCAACATCCCACACAATCGCGGTGCCGTCAGAGGAGCCGGTCAGCACGTAGTTGCCGCGCCGGTTCCACCGCACAACAAAGATGGGCCCTTGATGCATTGACATCACCAGATGCAGGTCGCCTTGCGGAGTCCACAATCGCAGAATGCCGTCGTAAGATCCAGATGCCAACAGGGTGCCGTCGGGATTCCACTCCAATGCGGCGATATTCTTGGCGTGCGTCGGCGGGAGATGTTTGCACACTATCGGTGTGACAGCTCGCTCGTCGTCCGATTCGCCTTCGGGAGAGTCACCTAGTGAGGCTAGGTCCCATATCCTCACTGTCGCATCTCCAGCCCCCGAAGCAAGCAGGCTAGGCACTGCTGGATTCCACGCACTTATTTGGGTCTCAGCTGTGTGCCCAGCGAGTCGCCAGACGTGCGTCCGTGACACCTCCTTGGCTTTCAATTCCTCGCTGAGCGGTGGGACCTTGTTGCGCTTCGCGGACTTGGTTGAGGCCGCCTTCGACGAGTGACCGCTTTCCTTGCCATTCCGATTAGCGTCCTCGGACTTCTTCGACTTTGATTTGCCACTGGACGCCTTCGCGCTCGGCGTTGCAGACTTGCCATTTCGACCCCGCGACGCAGATGCGTTATCGTCCTCGTCTGACTCGTCATCAGCGCCAGCTCGGCCATTGATGCCTTCCACGTTGCGGTCAGCACCCCGCGTTCGCTTCTCGTCGTGCGCAGCTGCGGTCGACGTCGCTGCACCTTTTCGCTTGGCTGGCGAGACCGCTGTTGACGCGCCTCTGTCATCAAGATCCAACCGGTTCCTGCTTGTTGATGCTTCCTTGGAGCTCCTGTCATCTGAAGCGTGCAGACCATTGACGCGTGTCGCCGGCGCCCGGCTGTTCGAACGAGATCGAGGTAAAGCTGGTAAGTGGGACGTTTGAGCGCCAGCCTCCCGTTTAGCCGTATCCTCTGGTTCCGGAGTCGGAGTCAGCCGTGTTGCAGGTGGCGGAGCTAACCTCGGCTTGCCATCGCAAACATGAGGTGGACCGATTAGCTCGAATGGCGCACTACAGGGCTCCTCAGTACCATCCTGAAA